GTAAGAGAGGTGGAATAAGAAATTTGCCCTTATTATAAAAATTATAAAGACTCTTTAGAAGTCTTCGGAGCCTAATTATTGAGATGAAATACAAAATTTTGTGACCTGAGTTTAGCGGGCTTTGGCATTTTTTGTAAACTTTTTACAATGGTTTCTAGCAATAGATGTCTGTTTTCTAAAGAATTGTTTTGCTAATAGATAAGGAAGTAATGATTACAATTGGAAATTGCAGCAGCATAATGTGAAGAAAACCATAGAAAAGAGTAAGGTTTGACTTGGAATCGTCAAGAAATAATAAAGGAATGCATGCCACCCTGAAACCAAGAAGTTAAAAAAGAAGCATGTTTATCAGTAGGAAAATTTCTACCCATGGGGCCATCATGAAAAAAAATCACAGAAAGAGTCCCAGTCAGCTTAAAAAGAGAGTTTTTAGAAGTACAATGATGGAGGGATTCTGATGATGAAGAAGAATGATATAATAGTTTTAGAGAGATCAAACTGTGATCAAAGACACTTAAGGGCACTGACTAGGATTAGAAACAAGATATTAGTCAAGTATAGAAGGTAAATGATTTGGATTTTCTGGAAAGCAAGTTGGAAAATTGACTATTTATGTTGAAGATTGAGAGAGGAAAAAGTTGTGGGACTTAACACCTGCAAAGTCAATGACACTAGTGTTTTTAATGATCATCAAGCCATTCAGTGTGATGAGCATTAAAGTCACCAATAAAAATGATATAGATGACGGATAAGGAGAAAGGACTTATTCAATTTGATCAGAAATAACATCGAAAAGAGTACTTGAGATGAAAGAGAGTGATATAAAACAAAAAGAAAGGCTAAACAAAATTTAGTGAAGTGAAGCTAGACAAAAGCACATAAAAGAATAGTCTGTGGATTCAAACCTAGTTTCCCAACAAATAGGAGAATTCTTAGGAATGTAAATGCCCAGGCCAAACATGTGACTATTGGAGTCTTTACGAATTAAAGGAAGATAACTATCAACACTAAGATCACGAATAAGACAGCCAAACTCAAATTAGTCTCACAAAAAGCAAGTAGGTCTGATAAACTTTGAAAGAGACTCATCATAAGAAAAGTTACTATAAATGAATATTATTAAATGATAGATTTAAAGAACTTGGTGATGATGATCGTATTTTGTGTTTCATAGTTTTTGGTACTTTAGTCACTTTTTAGTTTTGTTAAAGAACTTGACTCATAGCACAGATAGTACTCAGTACACTATTTAATACTCCAAGCAACTACCTCATTACTATAACAAACCCTAAGCCATAACAAAGAGCTCTAAATGTGGTCTTGACAATGCATACCAAATGTAGGAACAGGGATTCCATCCATGTGCAACATGTCTCTGTTAATATTCTGATATTTTACAGCTGTTAATCGAACCACCCTATCTGAGTTACCACAGAGCACAGGAAACCTCTCCACCAACCAGGCTTAAAACCATAAAACTAAGTTTTAGAGCTATACCTTTATTAGAAAATGATAGAATGAGTTAATTATTTATAATAGATTAGTCATAAAAATAGAGATGCAAGCATGGTTGTAATAGCAAAAATAAATCTAATAAATATTACAAATTTTTTCAGTCTCAACAACATGTTTATATATATATATATATATATACATATATATATATATATATATATATATATATATATATATATATATATATATATATATATATATATATATATATATATATATATATATATATATATATATGTATGTATATATATATATATATATATATATATATATATATATATATATATATATATATATATATATATATATATATATATATATATATATACATATATACACACACACATATTAGAGATATGCAAAAACCACTTTATGCTGAGCCCCAAATTCCAGGTACCCATAAGAAAATACCGGGTCCAAGTCTGGGTACCCGGTGCTGTTTCCATTTTAAAAATGTTGGAATAAAAGCTTGTGAAATCTCTAGCGCTGAATTGTTTTCACAATAAAACGTTGATTTGCACTAATTATGATTAAATTTACAAAAAACTTAATACTTAAAATCAAGTTTCTTTTTAATAAACAACTATATTTACACTCGAGGTCAAAAATTAAAATTACGCAAACTAAAGTGTAAACTTGATGTATGTAAATATTCTTTCTTCTTCAGGGATGTTAATATATGGAACAACTTAATGCCTGATGTCATTAATGCTAAAAACATCAAGAGCTTTAAAATTAAAATTAACTCTATCAACTTCTAAAAACACTGTTCAGCTCAGGGCCAACAACACTTTGGCAGGTGGGCATGTGCTCCCCAATTCACACTTTTTTCTAAAAGAACTTTTTTTTTAAAAAAAAAAATATATAAGAAAATTCTCGATATTGACAATTTTTTTAAAGAATTGACGCCACCCACTTAGAAACCTGTGTTGTCGGCCCTAAGGCTAATTAATTTTGGTTTTATAATTGTGGCTTTTTTTTATATAATACATACTTTTTTGTAATTTATCGTTAAATAATCGCTAAAAAGTGCTAATTAATCAAAAGTTATGTTATGGAAAATAAAAGATTGAGAGACAAAGGATTGCAAAAAAATAAAATAAAATAAATGTCTGTAGTGTGAATAAAAATTAAAACAAATGTGTAAAAAAAATTATTTGCAAAAAAATTTAAAAATTTAGTGAAAAAAATTCAAAACAAATAAAAAATAATCTAGACTGCAATCATTTGCAGTGTATTATTTTAATTGTTTAATTAACTTATTAAAATGAATAAATAAAAAATAATCTAGACTGCAATTATTTGCAGTGTATTATTTTAATTGTTTAATTAACTTATTAAAATGAATAAATAAAAAATAATCTAGACTGCAATTATTTGCAGTGTATTATTTTAATTGTTTAATTAACAGATTAGAATGAACAAATATTAAGTATTCAAAAGTTTAATTACTAAAAATTATCTTGTGAAAAAATCACACAATAAAAAGAAGATATTCAAATATAGTATGAATCACGTTCCTCTTTAATATATATTCTGACTATTTTGAAAAAAATATATACTTAAAAAAATATTTCAAGTTAGACACATCTATTTTGAACAAATAGGGCTTTGTGGTTATTAACTCTATAACACACTTAGACTTATATCAAGAAATTTATTGGTTGAAATTTAAACTAAAAGCAATCCTGTATAACTATTTATTTACATGATACTTTTAATTTTATCAAAAAAATATTTTGATACAATATAAAGTATCATGTAAATAAATAGTTATAACACTTAAGATTATTGTTTATTGAAATTTTTTTTTTTTAAATGGCCAGTGCCGGGTACTAATAATTTTTAATTATTTTAAATTTAAAATAAAAGTAGGATATTATCTGTTTTAATGCAGAAATTTAAATTTAAATTCAAAAGTGCTTTATGTTAAATGAAATCCGCACAAAAAATCAAATGATCATACTTCTATTAAAAAGTTAAATTTAGCATGACATACCTAATGACATACCTAATGGATGACCGCTAATAAAAACCACACACAAAAACATTATATATTTTTTAGAGCAGCCAAAAAAAATTTAAATTAGAAAAGAAAAAAAAAACAAATAAAAATATATAATGGTAGAATTTCACTATTAATATTTTATATGTGAAATTCTACCTATATATATATATTTTGTAAACAAATTGCCTGCACAATCTATCTATGTGTGTGACTTAATTTGTTGGTTCATGTAGAAGCATTTCTTGCATGCTCTACCTGTTTGTCAATCAATCCAACAGCTTTGCATGTTCTACCTATTTTTCAATTGATGCATGTAAACAGTAAAAAAACAAACAAAAAAACATTTAGAATGTTTTTATTTTCATAAAAAAATAAAAAATATTCCACTCTATTACGCTGTTTGTTATTGGAAAAAATTTTCAATAACAGACTTTTTAGCTGAGACGCATTCAAAAAATGAGTTAATCAAAAAACATTTATTAGTTTTGAAATTCATAAATTAAATAAAACAACTATTTAAAGAATAAAAAACCAAAAATTAAACACTGAAAATAATTTTTTAATTAAACTAATTTATTAATTATTTAATTATAAAAAACATTTATTAAAAAAACTATTAAAATTTATTAAAACAAATTTGTTAATTTATTAAAAACATTAGTTCAATCAGAAATAAATTTGAACCTTTAAAAGAAATAACTCAAGGCAAAATTGATATCCTAATGAGATCTAAGATACTTGTTAATGATATCTAAAACTAAAATCAACCACTTCTCCCCCTCAATACAATTTCTAATTCAAAGCTATTCCAAACCATATAGATTAGATCGATCAAAACTCGGAGGTAGAATAATGCTATATGTTGGAGAAGATATACCCTCTAGGATACAAACCTAAAAACCTCATCAATCAATCAGTTTTTTATAAATCTCACCATTAAACCAAAATATTTTTGCCAATCAAATACAATTGAAATAAGTTTATCCAATATTTATAAACTGGTAATCTCGGTCTTGAGATGTAATTTTTCCTAAATTATTACTAGGTCTTTGTTTAATTTTATTATTAAATTTATCGATTGATTAATTCATTATTTATGTAAATATTCATTTATCTAGATTTAAATTTAATTATTTATAATTATTATTACTCAAATATTTACCCTATGGATGAAAGAGAAAATAGCAGTGCCAATCGTAAAACAAGGAAAATTGTTACAAAAAAAAGAAATGCTATTAAAAATTAAACTACTTTTTAAATTTTTGGTTTTTAAATTTAAAATTTAAACTTAGTTTAAATTTCAAATTTAAAAACCAAAAGTTAACTTGAAAAACAAGAATTTACTTTTAAATAAAAATTAAACTTTTGTTTCATTTTTACTTTTGTTTAAGTTTTTCAACAATGCTAACTAACTTACACAGGTATGAACACACACAACACACAATATAGCTATTAAAATTAAAAACAAAAAAATAACCTTCACAATATATTGAGTTTCACTTTTTAGCTGTGTTATATCAAGAATGGTTTTTTCTTCTGAGTTTTCTAGCAGCTCAGAAACACGATGCCGGATTGTTCTAACTAATTCATTGTTACTGGAAAATAAATTAACTTCATAAAACAATATATCTCCATTAACATGTTCAGGTGGAGACCATGATAATGTAATTGAATTGTGACTCGATGTAGTCATGGTTAAACCAACAGGTGGAGTTGCTTCTGAATATTTAAAAACAATATATAGTTTTATATGTTGCACAAGCAAAAAACATACACACAAATGCATACACAATGTTTTTATAAGTATAGACCTTTTTTTTTGTGTGTGACTTAACTGTTATAGCGTTTGTAAAGTTAGTTTGTTAATGTAATTCTTTTTTTTAACATGTAACATATTTTTATACTTGTTATTTTTATTGTTTTTAACAATCACAATTATTTTTTTATTTTATAAAAAAATAATTGTGATTGTTATATTGTTATTGCTAAAATTTTTAATGTAATATTAAAAATAACAATAATAATTAAAAGCATAAAAACAAATTTAATTGTGTTATTTTTATTCTTATAACCTTTTTTTATTTTCTAAATTATCATTAGAAGTTTACTTCATTTTTTCATAATTATCATTAGAAGTTTACTTTATATTAGTAATTTTACATTATTTTTGTAACAAAATTTATATTGAACTGTAACAACAACAATCAACAACTTATTCAAATTGCTTTATTGCAATGATGAATCAAAAAATAATAATAATAAGGAACTATTTTAAAACCTAGTGAAATGACAGGTATCTCCAATCTAGTGAAATGACTCAATCATATCCAGGGGTGGTGGTAGAATTTCACAGTCATACACAACATTGAACATGCTAAAGTATTTAAGAACTTTTCATAAATCTGCTACACAAAAATCAGAAACATGATAAAGATTAAGCAATCTTGATTAATGTGAGGATACCTTAATTTTTGAAAGTTCTGTGATATTTGCATTAGTTAGATAAGTTGACTAAATTAAGACTAAGCCCTTACCATCTACAGATTTAAAGGCACTAAAAATTTTAAAGCTAATTGCTAAAATGATATAATAATCAATACTAATAACCAATTTCTTAGTCTAGTAGAAAATTCGGGTTTTAAGAGATACAATAACAAACAGAAAATATTTCTTGACATTTCTTGTTTTGCACATATATTGTAGTTATTGCATAAGTATAAAAAAATATTTGTTTTGAGTACAAGTGGTGAACACTGTTGCAAAGACACACCCCTGAGAAGTGCTTAGTGCAGGTCTTGGGCTCCCCAACATAAACCAACAAAAATCAAAACAAAATAAAAAGTTAAAACATAAAAAAAAATTTTAAAACCCACCAAGATTTTAACTATTAAGTTTTTATACTTGGTCATATTTGCTTCACTTAAACTGACTTTTGGTATGCTTCACCTGGCTGAAATTAGAGCTTAAGACAGATTTTGACAAAAATTGCACCTTCCCAGTGGGCTCATGTTTAAGATGTCTAGAACAGATATTATTTTGTTTTTTAGATGTCTAAAACATATTGTGTGCCTACTGGGCCGGATCCTGTATGAATAATTATTAAACTTTAGAGTAAAATGAATTTATATTTTGGGGCATACTTTAGTGATGCAATTTTTTTTTTAGGAAATTATAAACCTTGGTTTTTCATTTTTATTATATACTATATAAATCAGGCTAAATAAAACAAACTTTAAGACCATCTAGAAATAACATTCTCTAATAAGTTAATTTAAAATTTCAAAAGTAACTTCAAATAATAAACTAACACAGTAAAAAAAAAAACATACTTACTGCCTGGTTTTGTTCGTATTAATGTTGTGGATGATTCACCCCAACCTCCCCCAGTTTTTTCTTGAACTTCAAACTCATACACACTGTATGAATCTAACTTTTGAAGAATAAGATGATGACGGATTGCTTTAGCATCGTTAATTGTACCATTTTCAGTGTTCTTTTTAGAAAAATGTTTTTCACGTGTGCACAAACGTTTTGTGCATAAATATTTTTTCCAAAAGCTAATTAGATATTCTGTTAGGATTCCATTACAAAATGTTGGAGGATGCCACGTAATAATAACTTTTGGAGTAAATATATCATCCTCGTTAACCTCTGATGAAAATTCGAGTTTTTGTGGAGCAGAGGGTACTTGTTAAAACAACAACAAACAAAAAATTATGTTAATTATACTGAGAGAACATAAATACATAAATATACATGAACATGCATAAATATATCATACATGAACATATATAAATATATCAAACATGAACATATACATAATTAAATCATACATGAACATATTATTTTAAAAATTTGTATTATTCTACCATTAAAAACTAAACTATATTTATCTAAATATTAATACTACAACATTTAACCCTGTTTCACTTTCATTTTTAAATTAGTTTTAATTAGTTACTAGGCTTTTCTAAACTTGAAAAATTGCATTCTCAAAATGTGGTTATTCTGGAAAGATCTACCAAGGAAGTTAAAACTTTTTACTTTTTGGAATTTAATTATCATTTGTTAGTGTAGAAATATTAGAGGAATTATAATAGAAACATCATAATATAATAGAAGTAAAGAAAATAGTTTAGCAACTTATATATTACACTTTTATTAGATAAAAAACAGAAAGGAAAACCTTTTTTTTTTTTTTTTTTTAAAAAAAAAACTTTTTAACTCTTTAAATCGTTTACATTTTGTTTGTTTTTTCTTTTCTTCAAATTTATTTGTTTTTATACTTTCTTATTTAGGAAAATATTGATGAGCCCTAATTTTTTTTTCATCCATTTTTTTTGCATATTTTTTAACAAGCTGCTTTAGAAACACTTTCTTTCTCTCCCTCTCTGTCTTAAATGAGAGCTGAATGAGAATTAATAAAGGGAGCATTAATGAAATTTATGTAATTACTGAGCTCTTACGATATTTCTTAATACCACAATTAATAATGACCATGTATGAGAAACATTTTTGAGTTGCTGGTTACTTTATGAAACAATTGTTCAAATTGTTTAACTATAAGTATCCCTCGATTGTTCAAACATTGTAATAGAAAAAATCCCTTTAGCTCAAGTATTTTAGTAAACAAAATATCTTACTAAGTTGTAGTGTTATTTGGCAGCACCAAGCAGTGTTATTAGTTAGTGTTTTTTAGCCTTTTTTAATTATCCTGGAGACACAGTAATGTCTGTAATATGTGCCTAAAAATATTTAATGTTATGTACTATTGTTACTGTGTTTTGTGTTGATAGAGCTAGATGTTAAAGTTATTTTTTTTATTCTTGATATTTTCATATATATTATTATTATTCTGATTCTATTAACAATAAAATGCAATTAATACTTTTGTAATTAAAAACTGTAATTTTTTATTTTATTTCTTTTTTAAGGCATTGGAAGGCTTTACTTGACTTTTCTTATCTGGTACCTGCTGTGTTTTAATAGATTTTAAAAAGAACTTAACTGATGTTAATGTAGTCTTTTTATGTTGCTAACTATAAGCAATGACGCTGCTGATAGGGAGTGTAACTTAAAATAATATTTATAGATAAATTTGTATTTAATTATATTTTTTTAGATGATATATCAAGTTATATTGTCATCAATGATTTTATTACTAACAACCATATTGCGGGTTGCTTACTGCTAGTAATTACAAACACATATAATAAAAAGCATAAGAGAGTTAATAATTTTTTTTTAATCAACAAATGTTAAGTAAACAAACAATAATAGTATTTAAAGCATAATTTATAATATATATTTTACAACAAAAGTTTCAAATTTGAGTAATTTTGTAATATTTGTAATATTTGTAATATTTTGTAATATTTTGTAATATTTGTATATTTGTAATATTTGTAATTTTGTAATATTTGTAATATTTGTAATATTTTGTAATATTTGAGTAAATTTGTAATAGTAAAAAAAAAAAAAATGTAAATTTTACCTAGAAAATTTTTTTACTATGGCTGTTTATAAACAGCCCCTTAGTGGGTTATTTTATATGAAATCACTTTGGTATTCAAAAGTGCCCAAGAGTACCACCTCAGTATTGCTTCAAATTTTGACCACCCAAAGATTTTATGAAAAAAAAAAACAAAAAAAAACACAATCACAAAGACTTCAGCTTGATTGACCAAACTATTCAATAGTTATGATTGAATCAATATTGAGCAAAATCAGAAAAATTTGAAGACCTTGGAATCTGGAACTTACAGCAGATTTTTTTGATTTTTGACAGACCAAAATTTTGAAATAAAAAAAAGTGATCACCTGAAATTTTGTATATTAGTAGTGTTTTTTCTAAGCAATCCATTTTTGCAGGCTTTTAAGTACCTCAAAGTTGCAAAATAATGCAATATTAGGAATAACATTAAAAACTTTTATAAGCTATACATTAAGAACCTTTATGAGTTGTATATAGGTATTGAACAGTTCAATACCTACACACGCAGTGTCATTTATATTTGTTACTTTTGTGTACTTAGTGTATAAATGACTCGTGTAAAAACTGAAATTTTACATTAAAAGTTAATTTAACACTTGCAGCAGCCTGTTAAAATATCACTTTCTTAAAAACATTGAACTACATTCACTTTGCAAGTATAGAAAATAGTGTAAACAGTTAAAATAAATTATGAAACTTTTTACTGCGGAGGTTCTAAATATAGACAATCAACAAAAAAATTAAAAGACCTATACTTTGTCTTAAAACATGATTGTAGCCTTAGATGTACATTGCAGCCTTAGATATATATTTTTATTTTTTTAACTTATGTAAGTATAGTTTTTATAATATAATTTACATGATTATGATTCAAGTAGAAAACATTATAATTGTATTTTTCTTTTTAATTATAATTTAACATTTACGACTCTTCGTTTTAAACTTTATTGATTAGTAAAAAATGTTACAGAAATGTTGTGTGGGGAATGTTTTAAATGAAGATTGTGACAAAATATTTTATTGAAATATAAAATGACAAAAAGATTAAAGCTAAAAATTTTGGGAACACAGATGTGTACAAAATCAAAAAATCAAAAGATAGCACTTTTTGAACCAAATGAAGAGATATGTTTTCACCATGAATATTTCTAGGTATGAAGCACTGCAAAAATCTCTGATCCATAGTCAACAAAAAAAAATCCATAGTCAACAAAAAAAAATCTCTGATTCATAGTCAACAAAAAAAAATCCTCAGAGGATTGTGTAAATCTAAAATTTCAACAGCAAGTCAACGTAACATAAAACCTAGTCAAAAACTTTGCATTAACTGTTTGAATGAACTCAAATTTGAACAGATTACAGAAAATGTGAATCAATAATAATATATTATTTTATTAATATATATTATTTTAATAATAAATAAAGTATAAGTATGGTGTAGTAAATAAATGTAAAAATGGAGCCTCTTCCAAATGCCACCACTATGTAAATTATAATTAAACAAAAGCATAAGTTATATTATCATTTTATGTTTGTTAATTTTAAATATCTATAACATGATTTTAGGGTTTATATAAATATTGGTTTATCTATACATATATATTTATATATATTTGTTTTGAAGTTAAACTCTTGTATTTAATGAATATTTATAACTTTTTTATATATATTGCTTGTGTAAAAGAAAAGGTAAATATAAATTTGATAATGAACACGATTATAGTTGTTCAGACATTCATAAAACAGTTTTGAATAAGAGTGTGTCTTAGTAGAGAATATTTCCTCTCAAAAATGTAAGTAAAACATGACAAATTAAGATATAGAAAGAAAAAAAGTTGAAAAACTGGAAAAAAGTGTGACAAACCAAGGTCTTCTAAAGTAGAAGCCCTCTCATGCAGAATGTGATATCACATTAGTAGTCCATTGATATTTGTTTTGTTTTAAAAAGATATGTTTTTATGAAAAGATTTTGCAAATCTATGTTTTATTTGTTTTATTTGTAAATAGATATTGCAAACAAATGTTAAATGTTTTATATTTCATTCGATTAAAATTATCTGATAACAAAAAAAATCTGAATAAAAAAAATAAATAATAAGCTATTATTTGTTTTAAAATTTTTTTTATATTTTCACAGATTAGTTAACAAGAATTTTCTTATGAATTAAATTTTATAAAATACATCAAGTCTCATTAGGACTAATAAATTCTTGTTTTTTTTTATTATTAAACTAACTTTAGAAATATTCCTAAATAACTAATTATGAAATGTTGCCAGCTTCCTCAATGCTTTTGGAACTTCTGTTATACTTTATGAAATGTTGCCAGCTTCCTCAATGCTTTTGGAACTTCTGTTATACTTTATGAAATGTTGCCAGCTTCCTCAATGCTTTTGGAACTTCTGTTATACTTTATGAAATGTTGCCAGCTTCCGCAATGCTTTTGGAACTTCTGTTATACTATTTTTTTCTACATTTTGAAGGTTATCAGCTCTTTTGCAATAACTGTTTAGAAAAACATTTGCTAGTGTAGGTATAATAATTAGTATTTGGTAGTGTACTAAAACATTTGCTAGTGTACGTATGGCAAGTTTTGCAAAATAAAGTATTGAAATACCACAACAGCATACACCATTAACCATCTCAAGAAACTCTAAATGCTTAATTGATAAGGAAATTAGGATTTGTTTTTGCTTTGACATCAACAAATATTTAGATTCATATTGAGAAGATATCAAAAAAGTCCATTTCAACCCACCACGATCTAAATTAAATAGATATTCATACTCTGAAGCAACATCAAATTTTAATGAATGTTCTGATACAAGTTCATTTTTGCAAAGCTCGCAAAATATTTTTCCATGTATTAGCTTAAAAGCAACATAACCAGCATTATACACAAGAGAATTACATTCAAAAGATGAAATATGTGCATTATCTGATGTTGTAACTAACTCAGAAAATTCATTGATAAAAACATTTTCTTCAGAATTGTCTGTAGATTCAGTTGCATTGACACGATTACATTCAGAAATAAAGAATCATATACTGCCATGTTATGTAGAAACAATATTTAAAGCACTAATAATTTTATTTTTTTTGATTCTCTTATCTCTTGAACTGATACATGATAATTTCCACCTGAAAACTGTCGATAAGAACCAAATGTGGTTCCAAAACAGTCAGAATTAAAA